GTGCTGAGCCCCGTCAGCCCTCAGGACCCCTTCACAGCAGCGGTGCTGAGCCCCGTCAGCCCTCAGGACCCCTTCACAGCAGCGGTGCTGAGCCCTGTCAGCCCTCAGCTCTTGGGTGTATCAGCCCTCCTGACTGTGTGTGCTTCATGATGGCACATGTTAGGGCATGTTGCCAGTGGAGCTGCATGTTAGCATTAGGTGGTAGTGACAAGTGTGAAAGGCTCCCCAGTAGGCAACCAGGGAAGCTGGCCAAGCTGGGTCCAGGGCCCCTCACCGACAGGGTAGGCGCACCTCCTCTGGGGGCCCTAAGCAGGGGGTTTCTTGAGGAGATTTTGCTTGCAGTTTTCCTTTCTGTATAAAGATCTGTGGGATTTGTGAGTAGTCTGGTCCCGAGCTGGGGACGAAGATTTCTGCTGCCCTGTAGGGACAGGGCAGGAAAGGGCGCAGCCTGGGAGCTACGGCCAGAGCCCTGTCGCGCTGGTCATGCCATGTCAGCAAACACTGGAGCTCCTTCCTGAACCCGGGTGTCGTGGCAGGAGAAGGGCTGGCCTCTGGCTTGGAGGAGCTCGGCCTGGTGGGTGCGGGAGCTGAGGGCCACGACACACAGGTGCTTGTGCTTCCTTCTCCTCAGTGCCAGAGTCCGCCAGGAATGTGGAACAGAGGTGCCGGCAAGGGCTGCTGCAGTATGGAGCCTCAGGTGGTGTTGAGGAAGGTGGCACCCCGGGGTGGGGGGAGTGGGGAAAACCTCGGCAGGCAGGGTGAGACAGGTGGCGCCAGGATAGCCCGAGGTGCCCTCCTCGATGCTGGCTGGCTGCCCAGGCTGTTTCCTTAAGGGACCCTGCTGTCCTAACAGATTGCTGACTTTTTCCACACTAATTTGGATGGCTTTGTGTCCCATTTGATGAGACATTCCTAAGAACATAAAGTGCTCCCGTTGAGCCTTGAAGGCTGAGTGGACTGTGCCAGGGCTGGCCCTCACACCTCAGGATTCACCCTCTTTAATCTTCATTTCATACAAGGTATTTCTAGCTGAGATGCAAAGAAAAAGGAAAAGAATTAATTTATTAATTTTTGTTCACAGCTCGGCTTTAAGAGGAGGTCAGAGCTGCCCGCTGCCGAAGGCCCAGAGGTCAGAGCTGACAGAGGGAAGGTAAGAGAAGACCAAGACCAAAAAGGGGGTGACTGGAGCAGAGGAGCTGGGGAAGCCCTTGAGGTCAGGTGCTTTCCCCTCGGAGGTACATTTTATAGATGCTCAGGTTGAAAAATGTGGATCATGGGGCCGGGGAGATGGCTCAGTAGAAAAGCGCTTGCCCGGCAAGCACGAGGGCCTGAGTTCAATCCCTGGTTCCGCGAAAAAAGAAAAAGAAAAAAATTGGATGAGAAATCCCTTTCCCTGGCCCCACTGCGAGGACCAGGAAGGCCCTGGCCTCTGCTCCCTGGAGCTTTAGTACAAACACGGCCTGGACAGCAGCCGAAGCTCTTGATAGGCCTGCTTAATTTTCATTGAAAATGTTCTAGCGTCCTAGATAAGCCTTCACGGGTCATTAGGGCAACAGATGTATTACTGTAGGTGTCTAGGTATTTTTCTGTCATAGGTTTATTTCTTATTTTGTTCCCTTTTGCTTTGAGGAGTCTTAAGGGCACAGAGGGAATTTTTTTTTTGTGTGTAGTTTTTGCATGGCATAGTTTTCAGTGAAGATTAGAAGTTTATGAACAGTTGAAAAAGATTACATCAGGAACTCTGAGTTGAGGATGGCTTGACCCAGCACCTCAACTTTTAATGTTCTTTCTTTTTTTGTATTTAGTACAGGGTTTACAGGGTCTACAGGGTCTCACTACACAGATCAGACTCATAGTGATCTTCCTGTTTTAGGCTTCCAAGCGCTGGGATTACAGGCATGTGCCACCACACCCAGTTTCAATCCCCATCTCAGTGCACCCTGGGAGCAGAGCAGGCATGGCATGCCAGGGATTGAACCCTGGCCGCTGCGCTCTGCCTAAGCAGGCGCTTTAGTCTGCTGAGCTATCTGGCCAGCCCTTAATGTTCTTTCTTATAAGAAATCAGTGTCTTGGTCATTTTGAGGGTGTGTACAGTAATGGTGACTTTGAGTCACAATATGAATACTCTGACGCTGCACGTGGTCATTGTCATCTCTAGCGGTGGTGGCATGGCAGGGACAGGATGTACCAGGGTGGCAGACCAAGGGGCTGTGGGAATGCTGACCCTGCTGTCGTCCTCATCCAGAGGCTTAGAGCGGCAGCCTCACGCACAGAGTGGGAGGACAGTTTTGAGACAGATGATCCAGCTCTGAATGCGTTTCAGAGGATTTGGGAGCACGAGGTATTGCTGCTTGCGGTACAGAAGACCAGTCAGAAAGAGAAACATGCTCTGCGCAGACTGGCTGGTCATAGCTCCTGTCCTCATGCTGGGACACAGCACTCTACAGCCACGATGCAAAGGACAGGCTTTTTCTGGCTCGTGGTCCGTGGCCATCTGCAGGAAGGCAAAGGAGAGGCCCAGAGTGGAGGAGAGCTGCCCCTAGCATGTGGGCGGGAAGTGGGGAGGCTGAAGTGAGGGCCCCGGAGGGAGCCAAGTGCTCCGGGCTGGTGACCACCCCCCTTTCCCACAAGACCCCCACTTCCTAACGGTGAGGCAGCCCCGAGTCCCTGTAACCCTCTCACCTTCCACAAACCTGTGAGGCTCTTGGGCACCTAGATATGAACCATAGCCTTAAGAGGTCTCAGCTAATCTGGTTCCTGAGGGAAAAGGACTCCAAAGGGGCATGCATTTTAATTGTTCTTCTTGAATATTTGGTTTGTGTTCACTACAGTTTGTAATGTTTTCGCTTCTAGTCCACGTTGGCAGGGGGTGAATTTCTCTGACCAAAGCACCAGTGTACACCATTTTGTCTATAAGATATTTGAGAGAAACATTTTCTAAGCCTTATGTATTTGGTATGGAGTCTGGCTACTCAGCTTGGACTTGGGGCAATCCTCCTGTCTCAGCCTCCTTAGTGCTGGGATTATAGGCATGCGCCACCACACTCTGAGAGAGACATCTTTTCACTTAGCATCACGTCAGTGTCATCATATTGTGGTAGTGATGTGACGCTTACTGTTGGAGAGCTTGTGTCCTTGTTCTGGGGCATTTAGGAGTCCTCCTGCCTCCACCTTCTCAGCTTTGCGTCAGCTTTCGTTTGTGTCTGACTGCTCTGTAATTTGGGCGCGTACTATATCTACTCAGCAGTCTTTTTATAACTTCAACATGTTGTGTAGTGCCACGGACGGCATTTTGGTCTTTAGTTTTCTCTTAGTTCACTTTTTACTCTGTGAAACTTGGTAGAGATCGAATTCTAGTGCAGTGAAGAGGGAAGGAATCCCTCATCCCTCCTTAGGCGGATGCCCAGCTTTGCTGCTCTTGTTGAGTATTTTCTTACTTGCAGAACTTCTTATTTCTATTTTAATGGAATTTTTTTAGGATGGACCACACCCAGAGGTTTTATATTTCTTTTTTTTTAGCTTAAAATTAACTTTTTTGTGTGTGATATACGTAGTATCTGTTTGTGTGGGTGTATCTGAGCCCCCTATTATTTAATTTTACCTGTGGTTTAATTTTAGTGTATCCTGGCCACTGGCGGGATTGACCAGCCCGTAGTGGCCACCCAGTTCAGGGTGGGGCGCAGTTCACCTCTGAGTCACTGCAGGCCCCTGCGCGTGGCCTGTCAGCCTCTCGGGGGTCGGCACTGATGACACATCTGCCCCCATCAAATGCCATTTTCATTCCCCTCATTAAACTCATCCTCTCCAGAGAGGCAAAATTCTGACACGCAGAGCACGGTGAGCGCTGGGCAGAGCCTCCCGTGCGTGCGGAGGCTGGGGAGAGTGCTGCTGGGCCCGTCGCCACCTGGCCCGAGAGGCAGGCAGGGAGCAGTGTGCCAACAAGTTAGTAAGCTATTGCTGGGTAGGAGACGGTGTTTTTTCAAGTTTGGGAGGCACTGCCTTTTTGGAATACTCATTTTAAATTTATGTTAAAGTTTCTGAAAGTTTAGTCTTGTCCCCAGGGGAGTAGAAACTGCCCGAGGCCAGGGCCGTGTCCTAGGACTGCCCCTGCTGCTCCTGCCTGCCTCTCTCGGGTGGCAGCGGTGCTTGCGGACTGCAGATGCAGCAGAGAGATGGACCCGTGTCCTGGCTGGCATGTGGCTTGAGCCTGGGCGCCTTTTACCCAGAGTGGGAGCCTTGTCAGGGCAGGAGTGCACTGTGTGTGTCTCCGCATCCGAGCCAGAGTGCAGTGTTACCATAGAGTAGCGCTTCGCAGGCACGCCCACTAACCTCCTAGGAGAACTGCGGGAACCGCAGTGCTAAGTCACGCGGTCACACGTCGGCGTGTCCACGGGCCGTGTGCTTTGGGGAAGTTTCTGTTGTTCACATGCCAAGTTGTCGAGGCCCGCTGTCCTTGTTGTCTGCTTCCCTCCGACCACGACTGTTCAGGGCACACCACCTCTCTTTGTCTCCTGCAGGTTGCCATGGCTGCTGTCGACAGCTTCTACCTCCTGTACAGGGAGATCGCCAGGTCTTGCAATTGCTACATGGAGGCTCTGGCCTTGGTTGGAGCCTGGTACACAGCCAGAAAGAGCATCACGGTCGTCTGCGACTTTTACAGCCTGATCAGACTGCATTTTATCCCTCGTCTGGGCAGCAGAGCAGACCTGATCAAGCAGTACGGAAGATGGGCCATCGTCAGCGGTAATGCAGCTTAAGTTCAAGCGCGCTTTTCTGTGTAGGTTACCTTTAAGTGAGATGCTTTACTCAAGGACCTGTTGAGTTGAGTGTGCCGTTTTCCTGGGAATATGATGGTGAACAAATCTTGTCATTCTAGCCGTGATTACCTTTGCATGTTTGTGCTTGTCTCATTGCAGGAAGAATTGCTCGTGCTTTGTGTCTTTTTTACTCTCTCTCCTCTTCCCAGGCCTGTTCTACCTTACCTCCTCACCCCTCACTTTTCCTCCTTCTTTCTTTAATTTTGATTTTAATTTTTTGGTGGCACTGAGGATTGAACTCAGGATGTTGGCACTGAGCTATATTCCCAGCCATTTGTGGTTTTGATTTTGAGACAAAGTCTAACTGAGACAGTAGTTTGCCCAGTCAGAGCTTGAACTTGAGATTCTCCTGTCTCAGCCTCTCACCTTTTTGGTGTTTTGAAGTTGTCCATAGATATGGAAAAAAATACGTACACAGTAAGTGTATCCAGTGAGTAGCACTGAAGCCACCGAGTAACGTCAATAAGGAAAACAAGAAGATTGATTCTTATGTTATGTCATATGTAAAATTAAGGCAAGACTGATTAAATATGAAATCTAAAAAAGGAAAAAGAAAAAAAAAGAAATTGTCCATAGAAACGATCCCCGCTTTCAGAAAGGATCACCTGTTTGGAATTTGATTTTATCACTGTGTCCTAGAATGGCGCCTCCTGGCACCTGTGCTCGCCCTGTGGCTGTTTGGAAATGAATTCTGCGTTGTTCCCGTCAGCTTGGTGAATGTAAGCGATGCCTTGTCCGTTAGGGGATGCAGGAGAGGGTTTAGCCACGGCATTCACGGTACTGACTCCGCATTGTCTTTGACTGATAGTTATGAGGAGCCATGTTTTCCAGAGTCGTTTTTATCTGGTTAAACCTGGTATGTAATTCAGGATTATTGTAAAGAACACTGTGCACTGAGCACGCTCGTGTTTCCTGGTTTGCATTGTAGGTTCGACTGATGGGATTGGAAAGGCCTATGCTGAAGAGTTAGCAAGCCGCGGTCTCAATATTATCCTAATTAGCCGGAACAAAGAGAAGTTACAGAATGTTGCTAAAGACATCGCGGACACCTACAGAGTGGAAACGGACATTATAGTTGCAGACTTCAGCAGAGGCCGTGAGATCTATGATCTGATCCAAGAAGCGTTGAAAGAGAAGGACATTGGGATCTTGGTCAATAATGTAGGCGTCTCTTATCCCTACCCACAGTATTTCTCTCAGGTCTCCGAGGACAAGCTCTGGGACATCATCAACGTGAACATTGCCGCTGCCAGTTTGCTGGTCCACATAGTGTTACCGGGAATGGTGGAGAGAAAGAAGGGTGCCATTGTCACCATCTCCTCCGGCTCCTGCTGCAAGCCCACTCCCCAGCTGGCTGCGTTTTCTGCTTCTAAGGTCAGGCTTTACTCGCTGGAAAGTGGAATCCGCATGCAGTACAACGTTTATTACAGTTGTTAGGTCCAATTTGTCGAGCACTCTGTCAGCAACTTAAATATGCTTATGCTGAATTTTTTCCTGAACTGCTACTAAGCAAGTGTCCTTTATGCCGGACTCTTCCCTCAGGTTCTCCATTAATTCTTCTCCTCCCTCTGCTTGCACAGGCTTACTTAGACCACTTCAGCAGAGCACTGCAGTACGAGTACGCTTCTAAAGGAATCTTTGTACAGAGCCTAATCCCGTTCTACGTGGCCACCAACACGACTGCTCCGCGAAGCTTTCTGCGCAGGTGCTCATGGCTGGTGCCCTCGCCCGAAGTGTACGCGCATCACGCTGTTTCTACCCTCGGGATTTCCAAAAGGACCACGGGGTACTGGTCGCACTCCATTCAGGTAGCAGCGCGCTTTCAGTTTTGGGGGCGGGGTTAATCCACGCTAAAGCTTTCGGAGTGGCACGAGGGTGTCTGAAGCCTGACTGGAACAAGGACAGTTGTGAGCTCAGCTGCTTAAACCTCAAGCTCTTCCTGATTTCAGTTACAACCCTAAATTCTGTTGTGTTCTATTTGTTGTATTAAGATTTTTCAGAAGCTCAATGTGTACAACAGCTGAAAGGTAAAGTACCTTCATTATACATGGATAGTAGCAATGTAAAAATACTACAGGTTTGTATGAGAATTTCAAAATAAAGAGGCTAGTAAGGTTTGAAAGTGTACCTCTGCAGTGAGCAGCCACATCCAAGGAAACCACACAACCATAAGATAGATCAAACAGCGTGCTGGGGTGTACTTGGAACCATTTGCTCAAGAAGCACAGGATTTTAAAAATGCTTTAAAAATCTGACAGAGATTTGGGTTCCTTTAAGAATATCTAATTTTGTTTAAATATTTCTTCTTTTGATGCCTGGAATCCAACTCTTGACTTTGTACGTACCAGACAGGTGCTGTGCCACTGAGCTATATACCTGGCTCCTTTTTAAGTACTTAAAATTGTGATTCTGAGTGTTAGGGAGAGAATGCATAATGATTTGTGTTTTATTTTTAATAATAAGTCCTTTTGTCATCTGAAAAGTAGATATGCCCTCATTTAGATTTTTTTTATTTAACACTTGGAGTTTTAAAAATTACCAAATATTTTTGAGACTATTGACATAAAGATTATTAAATTTAACACTATAAAATAAACAAATAAATCAGTTTTTACTCTACCAAAAGATTAGGTTATAGGTTTTCTTTAATAAGTATTTTTTTTAGGCTGGCGAGATACCTTAGCAGGCTAAAGTGGCTGCCAAGGCAAGCTTAGGCAACTGCAGGCACAGCTGTTCGATCCTGGCACCTTGCCAGCCCTGCCCGCTGGGCAGGTTGAGCCAGCCACACACACACACAAAAAAAAAAACAAAAACAAACAAACAAAAAAAAAACAGGTTAATAAGTAGTTTATTTAACGTGATTGTGTTCAGTTCTTTACTTAAGAAAATCAGAAAAGAGTGGTGAACGGTCCAAGTGCCTGCTTGTCAAGTGCAGGGACCAGGGTTTGATCCCCACACCACATACCATGCTGGCCTTGCCCTAGGGCACTGAGACCAGGCGTGGAGGCATACGCCTGGAATCCCAGCCCTGGGGAGGCTGAAGCAGGAGGATCTCTACAAGTCTGAGCTGCGTAGGGAGACCCTGTACCAAATACATTAAAAAAGAAAATCAGAAAACCTAAGTAGTTGTTTTAGAAACCACTGACCTTGAAGTCCTCTTAGAAATGAAAATAGGATAGGTTTAGATACTAGATATTTTTATCATGTTTGTAAAACAACATTTTAATCACAGACTTTGTTCTCATTTCTTAAGGACATGCTTTTCTATCAAGAAATTCTGTGTAGCTAGTATAATACCTACAGTAACTTTCTGTGTAAAGCTGCTAAGTCCCCGTCGCCCCTTTTTTGGGGGTTGGTTGGTTTTTGAGACTTGCTCTCAGTACGCGGTCCAGGCTGGCCTGTGACTCAACAGTGATCCTCCGGCTTCAGCTGCCAGCAGGCTAGGATTGGGGGCATGTGCCACCAGGTCTGGCAAAACTTGGGCTTTTAAATTTCCTTTTTAATTTACTCACATTGTTACTCAAACACTATTTTGTTCTCATTACAACCAAGATTAGATGCAGCAATCACTCTCATTGGAGCCATATTTCTCGGTGAGCTTTTACTATTACGTTTTATAGTTATTATTTCTTGTGAACACAGTTCACAGTGGCATGAAGATCTAAACTTTACCAAGCTTTAGTCTTCTGTCAGTCATTAGTGTACAAGAGAGAAATCTAGTATGTCAGACAAATGGAGTGAAGTTTTACTTGGTGCTCTTCTTAGTGTGCGTTCTGCACTAAGACTGCTGTGCTGAGCTTAGTGGAGGAGAGGAGGAAGTCACTGGCACGTGTCTGTTCAGCTTGTTGGAACCTGCATTAGCAGTCCAGATCGCACGTACATCTGCTTGCCCAGCTGGAGACCTGGGAGGTACTTCCTTAGCCAGGCGATAAAGCCTTGAAGGGAAGGTTTGTGCTTCAGACTCAGTGGTGCTGTGGCTCAGGTGGGAAACACTGGAGGAGGAAACGAGGGATGGGGAAAACTGGTCCAAGCTGGCTTTGAAAGTCCTGATGAAGACTGAAAACAAGAGGAGGTGACAGCTGCAGGTGGGAGCACAGGTGACAGGTGTGGGTGGAAGACAGAGGTGTGCAGGTAAGGAGCATTTGATGATGTGACAGCTGTGGGGTGGGTGGCATCATCTGCCAGTGCCTGCAGCAGAAGAGCCTTTGGTGAGCGCTTCGGGCTCTCAGCACCGCAGCGAAAGGTGCAGGCAGGAGGTGCGGCAGGGGCTGGGGGTGGGCTGAGGGTGCAGGGAAGCCAGGTGGCGCCTGCAGCAGAAGAGCCTTTGGTGAGCGCTTCCGGCTCTCAGCACCGCAGGGAAAGGTGCAGGCAGGAGGTGTGGCAGGGGCTGGGGGTGGGCTGAGGGTGCAGGGAAGCCAGGTGGCGCCTGCAGCAGAAGAGCCTTTGGTGAGCGCTTCGGGCTCTTAGCACCGCAGCGAAAGGTGCAGGCAGGAGGTGCGGCAGGGGCTGGGGGTGGGCTGAGGGTGCAGGGAAGCCAGGTGGCGCCTGCAGCGGCACCTCGAGCTGGACGAGCAGTGCCCATGCGCATCTCGAGGAAGCTCTCCTGCAGCCTCTGACGTAACTCCAGGAGGAGAGCCCTAGCTTCCGACATTTACTTATTTATCTAGTCAAGTTTTTTGAGATAGGGTCTCACTGTGTAGTTCACGCTGACTTTGAACTCACTGTTGCCCAAGCCAAACTTCCACTCCCGGTGCTCCTCCTGCCCCAGACCCCCACATGCTGGGATTGCGCGTGTGCATTGCCACATGTGGCCTCCAGCTTACGTTACTTAGGCTGTTTCCATCCTCCCCATCCCACTTAGGCCTTGTATCTTAAGTCTCTAGGGAAGGAATGACATCCGCATCTCAGCTGCTAACGTAGACTTTCACAAAGCTGCACATGCCCACCACCGCCATGCCCATCCTCCTCTGGGGTCCTCGGGTCTTCCTGAGGGTGCCACTCTGAGGACTGCCCCGCCTCAGGACACAGTAGTATTGCAGGGAGTGGTGCTTTCTTAAGCCTGGAGGAACCGGTCAGGCCCGGCTGAGGTGCAGACCTTCGCTTGCAGTCTACCCACCAGCCCCTGCGCGTCCCCTCTTCCCTCCGTTTTGTTATTTTTGCCTCAGTCCCTGTACACAGAGCTTGGCATTCCCTCTCAGTAACCTTTGTTAGTTAAAGGATCAGTGAGCTGGCCGCGTTAGTTTATCCAGGGAATCAAGGCCTCTCTTCTTGTGGTTCCTCCACCCTGCCGCCCAGGGTACCAGCCCCTTGCTGGGCCAGCCAGAGATGGGGTGACATTGCATCCCCACTGCACTCCATCTGGAGCTGGGGAACACACCTTGATGCTGTGTCCCAAGTACATAGTGGTCAAGAATGAAAGGAAAAACAATTTTTCGACACTGACCACTTCCTACTAAATAATTACTGAAAACACATGTACAGAATATTGCAGGTGGAAAGGGTGCTGTTGATTGAGCCTGTGTCACCTGCCCACATGTTTTTGTCCTCCTGAGGGACTACTATAGGACTCCTTTTATCTCTCTGGGTTTAGAATGCTTTATTTTAGGGCAAAGGAAGAGTGACCAGGCCCATCCTCACTAAGCCCTTTAAGGAAATCCCAGGATATTGCGGTTATTTGTGCCAGAATGTCCCCTGTAGCTGCTGGCCAGGTACAAGGTTCTTGTTTTGCAGGTGGCTGACCTAGAGCCTCTGAGAGCCTGCTAGAAACAGCTGCAGCTTTATAGCCATCATTGGGCAGTTAGTGGTATTCAGACTCATCCCTATTTGGAGTGGACCCTGGAGGTGCAGAGGAAGTTGGTCCACATATGGAGAAGAGGCTTGAGGGACCTCCGTGTCACGTGTAGTGCTGTTCAAGGCTGGAATGTGGACAAGGTGTTAGAGCTTTTAGTTAGCGTCAGATCTGTCAGAAGAGCACAGGTTTCTCTGTCACAGCCCCTTGGCATTCACGGTGGGTCCTCTCTGGATGAGGAGCGTTGCAGGATCCTGGGTGCTGCAGTAGGTTAGGCGGTGTCCCCGCCTGTACCCAGCCCCAGTGTGACACCCAAGCATGTCTCCAGACATGCCATCCATCCCCAGATTGAGACCCATGGAGCAGAGCAGTAGCAGCAGGGCTCCCTCCTGGTTTGCTGAACCCCTCATCCCTTGCCCAGAAACAGCGCCAGGGCCTGGTGTCTCCCAGCTCTCTCATCACTTTGCTCCAGCCTGTTCCTCCGAGCCCAGTTTTCTTCTAGGATCCTAGCCATGTGCGTGTCTTTTTATTCCCACTAACTTTACTGATCTAATGAATTTGCAGTTCTTAAATGGTGATTGCACCACTCATACCATGTTAAGTAGAGAAAGTTGTGTTACTTATTTATATTTATTATTTTTATCTTCTTAAAAGTTTGTCCCGCTCACTACGGGTGTGTGTGGGGGGGTGCTGCTGGTAGTGATCTTGTGTCTATTCCCTGTGGAATCTAAGCTGGTGTTTCATGCAGAAATAGATGCTCAGTACCGAGGTGCCGGAGGGCGCTTTCCTCTGTTGCATTTACTGTGGTTGGCAGATATTTACTGGACTAAATCACATGCTCTTCCGTGCATGCACTTCTTCAGTGGTGGTGGTTTGGGTGCTAACCTTCTCACCATTTTGTCTTCCCAGTTTCTTTTTGCGCAGTATATGCCTGAATGGCTCTGGGTATGGGGAGCGAATGTTCTCAACCGCGCGTTACGAAAGGAGGCCTCGTCCTGCACAGCGTGAGTCGGGATGATGCGTGAAGCCTTGCCAACTCCTGGGACCCTGCAGTGTTCTGGCGTTTGCAGAAGGACATTTCATTTATCGTATGTGTTTTCCTTCGTGACTGATTATCTAGCATCCTGTCAGTTCACCGTTTGCAAGGCAGACCTTGAGAGTGCTGTGGCCTCTAGGGCTCGCTGGATGGCGTGGCGTCAGTGATGACTAACGCATAAAGAACTGCTGGAAGAAACCTAAATGTCAATGCTTTGTATCTAACCTGTTAAAAAGTTGTGTAATTTGTGTTGTTCTAGGAGCCGCAGGGACCTAGCACTTAGGATTTGATTTGTCAGCTCCTACAATTTCAAATGTTATTTTGTGAGAGAAATTACCTACTTCCCTTTATAGATGACTCTGTCTTGGTTTTCATGTGTTGGTCAGGAAAACTACGGAAAAGTATGATTTGGTAACTGAGAGCACAGTGGTGGCATGGTAGAAGTCCATGCGTCCTGCTGAATAGCTCCCTGTTTTGGGGTGTGTGTGTGTGTGTGTGTGTGTGTGTGTGTAGATGCTGCTCTTTCCTTAGGTTTTCCTAGAGAAATGTGTGATGTGTGTGTCTGAGGAACTTTGTGTGTGGTTGTTACTTTACACAAGACTTCTTGTCAAGGTAACATGGAACCTTACAGGGTATCAACAGTCTAGGTCATTCTGAACAAGCCTCACATTGAACAAGCCTACCTGCTTTTGTGTTGTAGGCTTGCTGTGTCTAGTCCTGTTTCCTCCAGCCATCTTTGTTTTTTTCAGCTCTGTGGAATGAAATCCTCAACTTGGATATGTAATGGTCATCTTTTGATCTGTAAGATGTGACTAAGTAATGATTTCTCAGCCTATCATCCATTTTATAAATGAAATTGAACCCTGTAGAGCTTGTTAATCTGGTTTTCATACAGTTTTCTATGTAATACCCCATTCCAGTAGCATTTTTGATGTATTTATGAAGAGTGTTTAAAGTAGTGTCAAATTATGTGTGTGGTATATCTGTTGAAATAGTAAGTTTAAAGCTCATTTTCGGTTGTGTAGTGAATTTACACATAGCGATCATTTTTATTAATGTGAAGGTAATTATGCACAAGCCCCCCAGTAGGGATTAGCATTGAAACCTACTGTGAAATATCTTTAATTCGGGTCCTAGAAGCCCAATCATTTTTGAGGGCCACATACCTACCACTTTGAAAACTTTTAAGTCACTGTAAGAATATGGCAGCATGTATAGATTTAAAATTTAGAACTTAATATTGTGACACTGATGCGGAAGGTAGGAAATAGGTCAAAAGTCAAGGCTGATTGTTTTCCTTTGGGGTACCCTAGCGTAAGCCTGAGCAGGCTTTGATGTTAAGCACACAGCCTGGCCGAGAGGACATTGCCTGCGGCATTTCTGACTGTGACTTGGACTCAGAAGGTCAATGTTTAGTTCCAAAACTCTTTCACTCCTCAGTCCTGTCTTCAGAATGTTAGGCTGGAGAACGGCACCCTGGGCTTCTGGTTTCCTGCCACGCTGACGTAAATGTTGGTGGCTGTGTCGTGAACAGCAGCAGCTCCATGTGAACGCATTGTCAGTTACTAGGAAGTTGGGTGTGGCTGTGTGATGAGAGCAAGTAAGCACACATTGTCGCTGAGTTTTAAGGCTGCCCCAGCCGGCCCAGCTGCGCCTGCGCACTGGTGTGGGTGTGATGCATAGCTGCCAGTAGCCTCGGCGGCGGAAGACCGAGACCAGGAATTTCCTTAACTTTCCCAGCTTTTATGAAATACTTTCGTCCAAAAAGCTCAATGAGGGCTAATTACACCTTCACGGATAGGGTTCCTTATTTAAAATTGTGGTAGTGGGGCTGGGGATGTAGTTCAGTGGCACAGCACCTGCCTCGCAAGCACAGGGTCCTGAATTTGATTCCCAGCACCAAAAAGAAACAAAAAAAGTAGGAAATGTGAACATTTGAAGTGTAATCTGTGAATTGAAAGTGTAACAATAAAAGCAACTGCTTCTTTCCTCTGGAAGAGGTTTTGCTGTAAATGTTTGCAAGCCGGTTGTTTGGAAAGAGGGCCTTTTTTTCCTTGTAGAAATGATGACTTAAAGTTACCCTGTGAACACTGTGGTTGTAATTCATTAAAAGTGATGCTAGAATGGCATGGTGGCTGGTGATCTAGCAAAATGGAACGCCGAGGCAAGAGGTCAAAAGTTTGAGCCCAAACTGGGCACCAGACCCTGTCTCAAAACAAACACATAGCTCAGTGGTAGAGCACTTGGGGAGTGTCTTAGTTACTTTTTACTTGTTGCTGCGACAAATACCCGACACCCAAAAGGAAGGAAGGAAAGGTTTATTTAGCTCACAGTCACTGGAGGTTTCAGTCCATACTCAGCGGGCTCCAAGGCAGAGCGGCACATGGCAGAAAGCAACCTTTCATGGTGGTGGCAAAGAGCAGGAGCACAAGGGAGGGGCAGCAGCAGCTCAAGCCGCTGGCTTCTCTACCCACCTTACACTGTAATGCAGATTACCTGCCCCAGGCAGGTGCAGCATCCACACCCACAGTAATCAATCACAAACTCCAGAAGCCCCCCAAGACTGCATGAGGCTTTGGGGGGACACCTAGACACAAACCATAACAGGGAGCATGCTGAAGGCTGTAGGTTCCATGTCCAGTATTGGTGTGGGGGCGGAGGGAGGAGGGGGCCGATGCTTTCATAACAAAATTGTGCATTCCAGGGCCTGGTGAGCTTTTCCAGCCCTGGAGTGGCCTCTTGATCTCATCTCCTGCTGACTGAGCAGGATGAAGATGGCTCTGTTCATTGACTTCGGTAGTGTGCAGGTGGCAGGTTGACTGGCCACACGCTGTGGTTGTTGCATGGTGGGGATAAAAGCCATAGTGTGTTCAACAAACTATACCTGTAATGCCAGCATTCAGGTGGTTGAGGCAGGAGAATGGCCGTGTTTGAAGCCATCTTGGGCTAATAGTGCAAGGCCACCGTGAAACACAGAAAACCCTGTCTAAAAAAGAAGAGCAAGTAGAGAGCTCTGAGGATTCTTTTTGTTGTTTTCCTATCTCAATTACATAAACTCTTGGCACATTTGGAAACCAAATGTTAAGTGGTGTGTCCTCCAAAGCCAATTCTTGTCTGTCCATGACTGTCTCTCAGTATATACAGTCCCCAATTAGAATGTACAGTGATTGATATATAATTTGGTGACTTTATAGTGGTGTGAAAGCCATAAAGTTTGGGTTTTGCTCTTTTCCCAGGTAAGTGGTAGGCAGATTAATCCTGGCTTTTGGTGCTGGGCAGCCACGTAAGCCCCAGCTTCTAGGCAGACATGCAGGTGCATGGTTGCCATTCACTGTCATCCCTTGATGTCTGGGTAGGCTGGGCTTTAGGGCCACTGTAGATACTCAAATCTGACAGGCTTAAGTCCCTTATCCAAAATGGTGATATGTGTATACAAGGGCTGACAAGATAGCTCAGCAGACTAAGCGCCTGCTTAGGCAAGCACAGGGACTGGGGTTTGATTCCCGGCACCATGTGCCATGCCAGCTCCACCCCTGGGCAGCTGAGCCAGCCACTGAGACCAGGCATGGTGGTGTATACCTATAATTCCAGTGCTGGGAGGTGATAACAGGAGGATCACTACAAGTCTGAGCTGTGTAGTGAGACCCTGCACCAAATACACAAAAGTGCATGTAAGCTATGCATAGCCTTCTTTATACTTTAAATTATATCTGGATTACTTGTCATCCCCAATCTATAAATGTTGTGTAAATGGGGTTGTGACTCTTTACGGAAGAATGACAAGGAAACAAAAGGTCTATACATGCTCAGTATGGACACAGTTTTTTCTCAGACATTTTCAATCCTGGGTTAGTTGAGCTGGTGGATGTAGAAACCCCTGATACAGAGATCCAACTGTGTAAGATAGGGTTGTATCAGGTGATGCTGTCCAGCTGTTGGCGAATACAACTTGGTGTTCTGAGCACTTTCAAGTAGCTGCAGGGGTAGGGCCAGGTACACAGGGTTGAGCGCTTGGGAACATTGGATTCCTTCTTGATGGAGAGGGTGGGCCCTTTTAGGCAGGTGGAGGTCTCAAACAGTGCCCGCTACGTATCTGTGATGGACAGCATGTCTGCCTTGGCGTCTTGGGAGCCAGGTAGCTAGAGTCTCATGCAGGGTCTTCCTCTGCTCCCTGTGACATTCACCACCAGTTGCTTGATCCAAATCCTGTTTGCCCTCCAGGTTCTCATTTAGGAAGCTTTCCCAGCCTGAGATCCTGGTAAATAACCCAGTTTCAGTGGAGGTGCTGGTAGCCACAGGTGATGTGGTGAAGGTAGTGGCAGCCCTCAGTCTCAGCTGGAGCCTTCCTCTTGCGCCACTCGGAGGCCTCCAGGGAACATGAACATGCAACTGCTCTCTGCAAACAGGTCCTGAAGCCGGCAGTGTGCTAGTGGGGAAGTTATGAGACGGGTATCTCCATGGGCACACTGAGCAGCAGCTTTGGCAGTCTTGCCCTCAGCGTCTTGTGTCTATGTCAGGTTGAAACCACTTGCCCTAAAAGTAGCTGCACACATGGCGCTGCCAGCTGTGCAAGCCCAATAGGACGTCTGGGATCTTCTGTGCTTGTGGAGTAGCTGCCAGGCCTGGGACCTGCAGCTTGGCAACTCTGGCTTTCCCCTGTCAGTGGATGCCTGGGCCATCTGCTGTTATTCTCTAAAATAATCTGAATAAACGTGTACTTTTCCAGGGAATTGCAAATGTTTGTTCTATACATGCAAAATGAATTTAAGAAGTTACCTTAGGACCTGGATTGCTGGAAAAGTATAGACCAGGATCCTTTAGGTTTCAGGCCTTCTTAGTTCTTTCCAAGGGACTGCTCTGTGCTCACCTCAGCCTCTTTCAGCTTACATTCTCAGGAGCTGCCAGCATGATGCTCTCTCCTTTGGGGCTTCAGGGATGTTTGCAACTGAATAATCGAGGTAGGTTCATATAGGTGGGCCGTAGTTGATGGCATAGTTACTACAGGCCTGTAAAACCAACCCTGGCCAAAATGATCTCACCCCAGGTTAGAACAGAATGACACAGTAAAGGTTAAGATAAAATGCACTTATGTGACAGCAGAAGAAAATATTTCAAAGATTTGCTAATACAGAGAGTCGCGAATTTTGTGTATGTTCCCCTAGTCAAACTGAGTCAAGAAAAATCCGGAGTCCACCACCACTTACTGAATTCTACATGGTTCATCTACATCATGCGTGTTTCATGTAATCCTCATCGTGTTTGGTGTCTGTTAATATCCCTGGCTTTTGAGTGCGAAACCTGAGATACAAAGGGGTTAAACACCTTGCCTAGCATTACGAAGTGTGTGGTGAGGTGCCGTGTTTGGTGGTACTATCATTCCTGCTGTGTGGAAATTAAACCATTGTGAAGAGTGACCGGCTGCGGTTTCTTGTCATATTTCTTGTCATACTCAGCATTAGTATAGTATGGTGGAAAACTGGAGTTCTACAGCTTCATCTGGCCAAACAGTACATCCTTACCCACTGGTATTACTGGAACATGCTTGCTGTCCCTCAGGGCTTAGGACTGCACAGGGGCCAGTTCTACATGGACACTGAAAACTACCAGTTCTTCTAATGTTTGTGTCACCCAGGTTTTTTTGCGGGGACAGGCACACTTTTAAGTGTTCTACACATTGATCCTCTTTAAAAAAAAATTTTTTTTTAAATTTTTTGATCCTCTTTCTTCAAAAGAAGAAAATAAGCATCTGGCATTAAAGAAATCCTTAGTTTCACACAACACAGACACGCCTGGCAGTGGAGGAGTCCTCCTAGCAGTCAGGCCAAGGCCGTGAGGGCTTAGGAGGTTTCGCAAAAGGGATTTGGGCTTTTCACTTCTGGGTGGGTTCAGATGCCTCCCGGAGGGCGGGCATCCTGGGCCGCCCTAGATTGCGGGGATAAGTACTCGGGCAGGGAGAGCTAGCGGTAGAGAAACGCTCTTTCAACCTGCGGATGCAGGCAGCCGCCCAGGCGGGAGGCTTTCTCTTCAAGGCAGTCTACTCTAGAACCTGGCTGGCTTCAGGCTTGTGCTGCTTTTCCCACCCTCAGCTCGAAAGCCCAAATGCAAGCCCGACCCTAGCGAGCGCCACCGCGCCCCACGGCTCGCAGGCCGGCCACACCTCCCGGTCAGGCCCGCAAGTGTCGCGAGACCTGCGCCCGCTCTCCCGGCGCGCATCCGCGGCCCTGGCAGTCAGGATTTCGTACGCGGTCCCTAGAGCGCGCACGTAGGGCCGCGCTCCGACCGTGGGCCTCTCCGCCGGTGGCGCGATCTCGCGAGAGTTGCGAGTAAACAGCCCCGAATGGCGAGTCGCGGCGTGTTAGCGGCTGAGGCTCCGTTTTCCCGGGCCTGCCGGCTCCGAGCCTGAGGCGGCCGAAGGTACGTAAGCAGCCTGCTCCGGCATCCCGGGCCGCCGCCCCTTCCGGCCTGCGGGCGACTG